ATTGATAAACAGATTTTGAAATGGTTAGAGAAACAATAGGATATGCCTTTTATCCATTTTTTCGCAGCAATGCCACTTTTTGTTTGTTGGACATCGAAACATGCTTTCGCTTTGTAGATACTTTGGCAGCTCCAGAATCGAAAATTCTTTTTGACATAATTGAAAGTTCAAGCTTATTTTTATAAAATTGCTCTAACAGTGTGCAAAAAATAATAAGCCGGATCCAATTAGAAGATTAAGGAACAACGCAATCTGCAACATTAACTGAAATAGATAATTAGATAATTTTAGCTTAGCTTATACCGTCCATTATACATTAAACGTGCATGCGTAAAGGTCATATGTGCATGCGTAAACGCATTATGCATTTAAGCATGCGCAGAAAGTTGGTAGCTTTGAGGTCCAGATTATGGACATCCGGATTAAAGACTTTTGACTGTATAAAGCAAAGTTTACAGTGACAAAATTCAAGGAAGGACATCAAGTCTGGTTTTAAAACACCAAGCATCACAAGGAATCTCATCCAAGCTGTTGATATCCTGGGTAGCAACCTTTTGAATGATCAAGAAATTGAATGATGTAGTGGTTGGTGTGTATCCAAAGAACTCCTTTGTTTAAACCTAAAATTGTGCAGAGCAAAAGACCTGCACCTTGGTTTGCAATAGCAATTAGTTGTCCCTTGTCTTGAAGATTGCACAGCCTGGGACATGCAGTCTTTAAGATGAAGACGACATTAAAAATTATGGAACTACTCTGATATGCATCCTCAAGTCACCAAATTTCTCGCCAAACATTTTTGGCGAGAAACTCCACGCTGCCATATTGCTATCTAAATTTTTTGTCTACATTTCGAACTTTAAGCCTAAAATGTCTCCAAAAACATGGTTTTCGCGAATGCAAAACCGTTTTGAACACACAATTTAAGCTGAAAATACGAAACAAAAACAAAAACTTTAGATAGCAAAACCGTAAAGTTTCTAACCAAAATTATTTTGACAAGAGTCCATGTACACAGCGATATGTTTTATCTTCAAAAAACGTCTACGAATGGCACAATCTAGGCAACGAATGAATCTACGAACGATGCACACCTCGCTTTAATAAATTAACATAACAACAATAAATTTCAAAGAATATCATGTATACAGCGTCCTGTTTCAACTTAAGAAAACATCTACGAATTGCACAATTTAGGCAACAAATAAATTTACAAACTACACACACCTCACTTTAATAAATTAACATAACAACAATAAATTTCAAAGAATACCATGTACACAGCATTCTGTTTCAACTTAAAAAAACATCTACGAATTGCACAATTTAGACGATACACACTAATCAACAAAATAACTAAAATAAATTTCAAACAATTAAAAAAACAATAACAACAGAAATTCATACTACAAAAACAATGAACAAAACATTCTACAAAATAAGAACAAGAATAAAACAAAATGCACTAACCATGAATCAATGCTTTTTCTAACAGCAGAAATACCAATTTCATACCGCCTTTAACATGCCGCCACGTAATCACTATCGGATTTATATGACACCCAGACACACTATCCAGAAAATCCATACTTTAGTTCACAAATAAAATCAAATAACAAATAATCACAAATCCCTACTTCTATCATGCACAGCCACTAAAAATAATCTCCCAGACCTTCTTTAAACACCTCCAAATACCCACTGCCCCTCAACAGAATGGCCACGACGATATTTCCTTTTGTCGAACTTCAATTCAACAACTTCCACCATTTTAGCCTCTCAGACATAGAGCATGACGCGAACCAACGAACTCCAGTGAAAGATTCTTCAAACGTCAACAGGGTTGCCATACAAAACATGCAAAAACCAGCGCAAAACACATATCGCCACATTTGGTGAAATTAGGGCGTATATCAGAGTTGTACCAAAATTATAATTTTCACTTAAATTCACCTGATTACATTGTTGCTCTTATGTACTGTTTTATTTATTTACTTGTTCCTTTTAGGGTAGTAATTTTACAGCTTATTCTGTGTGTAATTGAATTTATGGCCACACGTTATTATAAGTATTTATTTCATTTCGGCTCTAGTGTAGAATTGGGTGCCCCTTCGAATGGCGACAATTTTTTTTTAATTTTCGCGATGAATCCTCACTTCTGGTTACCATGATAGCTTTTACTTTGCTTTAGCTTCCCGATTTTATTTAAATGAAATTGATTGTGATGTGTACACAGACATGGTTAATCTTTGGATTATGCTAACTTGGCGATTTTTTGGCGACCAACCCGGCTACAGCAATCGGCTAATTTTTGTTTGAACGCCATTTTGTTTTCATGAAGTAAAGGCATTTTTTTTTCCCCAATCAACATTTTTTTCTACCAATCTGCTAGCCGAATTACGCTTATGCTAGAACTTTTATGGAACATAAGTGCTTAATCATGACGAAGATTAGGTGCGAAATTGGGAGAAAGTGCAGAATCGCAAACTGCTTGCAGCGTTTTTAAGAACTGCACATATAAGGTAACCATGTACACGTCGACCTATTTTTCACTTAAAAAAACATCCCAGAATAGCACAAAAATGGCATTGTGCACACTCTTGACTTTATCCATGTACACTGCTAAAGTCCTAGCTAGTAACCTTTATCGCCTTACCAAAATGTCGCCAAACTACCTGTTACCATATTCCAAAGATTAGCCATGGACATATTTAAGGCAGTACGCAATGCCTAGTTTGTGCAATTCTAGGATGTTTTTTAAGTAAAAACAGATTGATGTGTACATGGACACAGATCTTGTGCAATTCTTTGACTTCTAATTTTCGTTTTGTGTAGCGGCCATCTTGAAATTGTGCCTTCCTGGTGTCGATCTTGGCATCAAAAAAGAATCGCCAATAAACAAGGGGCACCCAATTGTAAACTTTTACCATTATTTCTTGTATTGAACGGTAAATCTTTCAATTATTAATCTTCAAATAAACATCTAATCAACACATCTTCCTATATTTCTAGCCTTTCAAATATTGCATACCATTTCTAAACATATTACTAGAAGTTTTGGCTGATCTTTGGAATATGGTAACAGGTAGTTTGGCGACATTTTGGAGGCAATAAAGGTTACTACCTAGGACTTTGGGAATAATGTGAGAAATACTCAGTTCCGATTACGCATTATTTTGTGTGAGGGAAATGAGAGATCATGAGATATGTCATGTGACGTTAACGGACGAATCACTGTTATTTAATCCGAAAAGGGGGTATATTTGTAAAAATATCTGCTGTACTTTATAGCAGTAGTTTCATTCTATGTTCTGTGAAACAGTGTTGTTTAATATTTGGATCCCATGGCCATATATAAAGTAAATCCGAAATTTTTATTACGTTTATGTGTAATTGAAAAGAATTGCTTAATTGCAGATAAGTATGAATGTCCAATATGTGGGAATGAAATGGATTGTGTGAAAGGAAGGTATTACAGATAGTTTGAATGGCGGTGCAAGAAACCTGGTGAAAATGGACATTTTGTGATCCGCCATGCACTCAAGATTCTGTAGAAGATTAGGTAAGTTAGTATTTTCAATTATTTGAGGATATTATTTTTATGCATTGTTCTAAATGTAAGAAGTAAAAATTAATATGATATTATTGGAAAATTGTTATTAGCAATGATTAGTTTAAAGTAATTAGGATTGTAAGCTAATTTTTATTAATTTAAATGTATGTGCTTTATTTATATTTTAACTTGTGTTTTCAATTTAATTATATTTTAATTTAATGATGTGATTTTGAGAGTTATATGTTTGTAGTATTTGGAATACGTTTGAGTAGAAGTAAATGTGAATGGAAAGAATTTAAGTATTTGACACTAATTATTTGTAATCATTTTTAATGTTTTGTTATAAATTCGTTGGTGATGTTTATAATACATAATTCAGAGGTAAAAGTTTTTGGATATTTTATTTATTTTATACGTGCAAATGTCCATCCATGGAAAGGGTATATACTTTTTCGCGCTCAGGTAATTTCATATATGTGCTTTTTACCGAGTTTAAAGATTCACAAAATTTTCCTGCATTTTCGTGCAAATTTTTGTAATTTATGAGAAAATAGCAGTGTAGATGGATAAAGTCAAGAGTGTGCGCAATGCCATTTTTGTGCAATTCTGGGATGTTTTTTTAAGTAAAAATAAGTCGACGTGTACATGGTTACTGTGTATGTGCGATTCTGAAAAACGTGGCAAGAAGTTTGCGATTCTGAACTTTTTCCCAATCTTGCAGTTAATAGTTGTCATGATTAAGCAGTTTTGTTCCAGAAAATTTCTAGCATAAGTGTAATTCGGCTGGCAGATTGTTGGAAAAAAGTGCTGAGTAAATAAAAAGAAAAGAAACATGTCTTTACTTCGTGAAGACAAAATGGCGGCGGAAAAAAAAAATAGGGGGTTGCTGTAGCAGAGTTGGTCGCCAAATTTTCGCCAAAAAATCGCCAAGTTACCATAATGCAAAGATCAACCAAAGTTTCTCCACACTAGAATTAATTAAAAATTTTATTATACTGTAATCTTAATATTATCAGGAAATAAAAAGTTTTTAAAACATTTAGTTTTGAGAAAAAGGGGCATATTCGCATTTACCTAAGGTTGGCTTCTTTACTACAGCCCTGGGTATAATTTTAGATTTTTGTTCTACTTAGTACCTTTAATATTGAGCTGATTTTTCACCAGCCATCTTGAGAGAAATTACTAGTTTTTATAAGCCTTCCAGATCTTACCTAATGAAAGTTCTAAATTACCATAGTGCTGTTGGATATACAACATATAAACAATAAACTGTTAACACTGATACTTCCAAGAAAAAATACTTAAATATTGTAATTTTTTGCTAAAACATTTTTCAGAAATTTACTTTAAAATCCTTCACGATACACAAACAGAAAAAATTACATACAGTTAATAAAATTGATTTGTTTGATAAAACACATATAGCAAACAAAGTATGTCTACTTACCAAGTATAAGTTGTCAGCCTCAGGTAAAATTAGTTAGCAAGATTCGTTAACAAGAATGATTTTTCATAACAGCTATGAATATAGAACACTGCAACCCAAAAATTACCAGATAATTAGACAGATTACTTAGCTATACACACACTCGTTTTCCTTGTTTACATCCACTAAATGATTCGTTTATAGCTGTCATGTGCCAAGTATACTAAAAAAGAAAGCGAGACTAAAACTTGCGCAAGAAATGAATCATCAACCAATGAAAATTTTTCTTCTCTCTTGTAAAGGAGCTAATTTTAAGAATAAATTTCTAAACAATCTTCAAGTGTAATTCAGTAATTAGCTATTTTAAGCTAAATTAAATTCAAGCTATTAATATCTATATAGGTATTTCTGATTATTATACATTTTTAATAAGGATTGTTTAAAGACACTTATTTCTTTATCTGACTCTGACTTGCATCTATCCTTAGTAGGCGCTTAATTCCGGAACGAATTCTATTGTTTGCTGGAAGAGTCCAAGATTTGCAGGTATGGTACGTGAAAGTAGGGATGAGCTAAGAGAAGAAAAGAAAAGGGATTTTGAGTATAAAGAATTTCAGTCGTTCCGGGATGCGTATTTCCAAACCCTACCCCACTTTTCGAATTTTTGACGTCATAGACAAATCGACTAGTTTCGCCTGGATGGTAATTCTTGAGCATGCGCTGAAGGGCGAGAAGTAACATAAACAGAACTTTGGCTTCAACTTGTAAACAATATTAAGTATATTGTCTGAAAGTGCATTCGTTTATGCAATTGCATAATTTTACTGTTTCTGTAATAAGAAAACTTCATTCAGATAAAATTTATTTTAATATTATTATTATCTGGTTATAGGATTATACGAAATGCTGAATACTCTAGATACTATCGTAATCTTCGCATATCCATTCCACATTGTATTTTTGCTTTATCATTCCGGAACGAATTCTATTGTTTGCTGGAAGAGTCCAAGATTTGCAAGTATGGTACGTGAAAGTAGGGATGAGCTAAGAGAAGAAAAGAAAAGGGATTTTGAGTATAGAGAATTTGCATATTGTATTATAAAGATTAAAGCAAAGCAAATTACTTTGTTAGAAATGTGAATGTTCTAACTGATTTTCCTTTTTTATCACTTATTATTTATTTCCGCTTTGAAAACACATTCATATTTGACAAATAATTATCTCCGCTGAAAATTTTTTGATTGTTAAAAAACTATATTTGTCAGTAATGTAATAAAAACTCGCGATAATAGTTCAAACCTGATAACTCCGCGGATTTATCCTATTCGCTTGTTCGAAGTTTGCAACCATTCCTCTTGCGTTCACTTTGTTGAATTATCACTGTCGTTGTTCGCATTTGCAGATTTATATTATTCTTCTCTTATTTATTATTATTTTTTCTGAATTCTTTTAACAACGAATAGATAGAAGTATTTTGGTAGATAAATGCTGGTTCTCTATTCGGGATGAAAGGAAAATACGGCGGGAGAGGCGAATGCTAATTTGTAACACGGCTGTTGACGTTGTGTTCTTAATTATTTACAGGTGTAAGCATGCAGAACTATGAGGTTTTTAACCCGTAAAATAATTTGTTTTCGTAGGCCGCAAAAATATGCATGTGCATTTTAAGTAATGCTTTTATTTTTATTATTGGTTATTGTCATCTAAAATTATGAGAATAAATCAATTTTTATGGCGTAAAATTTTAACAAGGTAATATCTTGTTAATTGCTTTTCTAACAATAACCTTTCAGAGGATGGCAGGTGTGACATAAATAAAAATTAAATTGAAATAAAAAATATTGATTATCTAAGATGACAGAATAATACGATGCATCACCATGGTCATCAAAACTAGCAAACCACTGCTGGTGTAAGGAATATATGTTTTCCGTGTTAACTGGAATTTAAGACAATTTTTTTTTTCGTTTATCACGTTTAACCGGGTAATTTCAGTACATTAATACTAATTTATATTTTTTATTTCGTTATAAATGCTTATATATTGTCTTATGCTTAATATATTCTTTTCTGTGCTAACTTGAATTAATACAAATTTATATCCGTATATCACGTTTAAAAAAACCGGTTAGTTTACTTCTACATGCATATTATCTGTGATTTTTACTACCATATGCTTAATATATTGTTTTGTCTGCTAACTTGAATTTACATGCACTAAAAATCACGTTTACAAAATAATAAATATCACGCTTACGGCTCGGCTCATTGTCGATGGACCGCGAGCTTGGCGAGTAAAAATGCAACGGGTTCTCTGCGGATGAAAATCCATCTACCGCTTCATAGATCAATATAACAACGAATTCAAAATGTTTTAAAAACATTTCTTTAATCTTTAGTTTCTGGTAGATGAAACTAATGTCACAGAAAAAAATATTTCAATAAAAAAGTTCTCCGTGTTAATTCAATAGCAAAATTATTTCTATTTCAGTGAGAAATACACTTTCAATGCTTATATAACAGAAAAATGTAACATAAGCATTTTAGAAGTTTTAAATATAAGCTAAAAGTTTACTGTACAATTTTATGTAAGAAACGTAATAATTTACTTTAATTCATTTTAAATTGGCATATTCCTTTCCAATAGATAACTAAAATTTTTGGCAAGTTAGAGACTTAACTTGAACACACAGATTCTGTCACTTAAAATATCAATTAATTGTGCTTTTCATTAGAGATACATTGGAATTGAAAATACCAAAGGCAAAATGGGTCACAGATCCAACCTAATTCCTTATTTGGAAATTTTTCAAAAAATTTTCAGTCAGTTTTATCATATGTTGTTTTAAACAAGAAATCTGTATTATTTTCTGTAGTAAATTCTGAAAAACATGTTTCTGTTGTTTTTGTTCAATTCTCCTTGCCAAAGTATCTTAGTTTTAAAAGCTTCAATATTTCTCCAATTGTATGAGGTTCTTAAATTTTTTGCTATTAAATATGAAGCTTTTAAGATGCCTGTAAATCCTTCTCAGGAACTGTTGTATATTTTTTCAAAAATACATTTTAATTTTTCATGCTTTTAGCTCATTCCTTAAAAAAATTCTTCAGATTTATTTACTTAAATCTTTATGGTTAGTTTCTGAGGTACTTTTCCGTTTCACTGGCGCAAATCTCGCCAAGCAGACTTTGTTGCCAACAACATACAATATAAACATAAAAAATGTTAACAAACATTATTTCTAAGAATTTTTTATTTTGAAGGCATAAACATTTTAATATCTTTTAAAATTTTGTAAAAAGCCAATAAATAAAGGCAGTAAATTTGTAAAAAGACATTAAGAATTTACTGTTTTCATGGTTCAACATCCTGATTTGTTGGTTCGTATCACGTGACCCCACCTGATCCCATCTCATGTAAACAACGTTACAAAAATCTAATTCTCTCGGTAATTATCTACAATAAGACAATTTAAATCTTAATTTGGAATACAAGTTTAAATGCAAGAATTATTTCAATTTTATGAATAATTTACTCAGAAATTATGTAAAACCGCAGTGCTTTACTACGCTATTGCATTCTCATTAGAATTGATGAATTTAACCCTTGATTTTTGCCTTTTCTATATTTTCGGGTGAGTGGTGTGATTGCATTCTAATTGAC